TGACCAACGTTTGACTGTCCTACAACAAGAGTACATCAATGCAGATAATGAGCGCACTCGATTGGCCGATTCGTTGAGACGTTTCCAGTCGGTTGTGAACAGAACATTTAGCATAAGCCGCTTCCAGCAGATCGCTGGTGGACTCGGCCCGAAAACGGTTCGAAATTCAGTCATTTTATTGGGGACCGAGGACATTTTCATATGATGAATGATATTCAATAAATAGTATAATAAATAATAATAATAAGTAATAATGTTATATTATAATAATAATAAATAATGTTTCAGGAAGAGCCGATACCCGAGCATGCGGACGATATGGTCAAGAAGGAAACCGTTACTGCAGTTGGGGCAGCAGCTCCGTCAGCAGGTTGTAGTTATTATTTATTATTTTTATTGTATATGTTATTGTTTTTATTATATATTATTGTTTTACGTATATTCTTATTATTATTATTATTATTATTATTATTATTATTATTATTATTATTATGTATTTATTGCAGGTGTTAACGTGGCCGAAGCGATTGACTTACAAGGCTTGGACGTGAGCATTCAGAAGCTCGTCGCCAGAATTGACAAATTGGAACGTGAGCGCGTGAGTGTCTTGAGTTGTTGTGTATATTATTATTGTATATATTATTTATTATTATTAAATATTATTATTATTTATTGTTATTTATTATTATTGTTATTATTTATTATTATTACTTATTATTATTGTATTCAGAATGAATATCGTGATTCACTGAGTCGTCTGAAACGTAAGACTAGCGACAGTCATATAACAATCAACAAGCAGGAGCATTTGTACAGATCAATTGAGGAGAAGATGACCGATGCAGAAGAAGGTATTTTTTATTATTTTTATTATTATTTATTTTTATTGTATATTAATAATATATAANAATAAATAATAATTATTATTTAGATCGTCGCACCCTCGAGGCACGACTGGCGAGCGCTAAACAGCTGTTGAAGTCGCAGGAAGAGGCGTTGAAGCAACGTGACGACGAGAGACGTCAAATGAAATCGAAAATAATCGCATTTGAGCTGCAAACCCGAGGAAAGGATGCGCAAATTCGTCACTTGAACGTGAGATATTTGGGAATTTTTTTATGAAAATGGTTAATTTCCTGTGAAATTTGGCGGAATTTTTTATTGAAATGTTGTATTTTTCATGAATTTTATGGAAATTTTCATAAAAATTTTCAATTTTTCCTGAATTTTGTTTACAGGATTTGGTGAAAACACTACGAACAGATGTGGAGAACAGTCAACAAGAGGCAAGACAGCTGCGAGATCGTGAG